CTGATTGAGTTTACCCTTCACACACCCAAACCCTGCGTTAAATATTACACGGAGAGGAGGTAGGATGACCCTCTGTCCCATTAATGGCTTTAATTGGTCCCATTAAGTGGCGAGGCAAGGAAGCGAAACCATAACTAGAGGACACATCATCATCTCAGAAGACCAGTCATCCAAAACCGCATGGTTTAGATGTTAATTTTCAAGGGCAAAGTTGAGCTAGATTCAACTTAGAAGAGCTATAAGACGAGTACCTTGGATTTAGTATGGAAGCCTAATATAGAAGTAATGTAATGCCTACACTATACAGTGGCTGGATTCGGTTTACATGAAGCTGCTATGTACCTCAAGTTGTTTCACACAGTGGATGGACTGTAGCTGTACTAAGGCCCATATAAATACACCAATACCTAATGCTGTGCTGATTCCCATTTTACTCTCAGAACAGCCCTGACCAGTCGAGACATGGACTCCATGAGACCCCTGAAGCTTTGCTGTGGTATTGGGACAAAGATGTTAACAACAAATCCTGCAAGGTGTGCAGTGGAACATCTGTGGATCCGACTCCTTCGTCCAGCACATCCCAAAGATGCTCAATTGGACCGAGATCTGCAGAATTTGGAGGCAAAGTCAACACCTCAAACTCGTTGTTGTGCTCCTCAAATTATACCTGAACCATTTCTGCTTTCTGGCCACTATCAGGGAATGCAGTTTTTATGAAAGGGTGCACATGATCCGCAACAGTGCTTCTGTAGGTGGTGTCAAAGTAACATCTGCATGAAGGGCAGGACCCGAGGTTTGAAGCATCACATTGCATAATGCATCCTGGTGTCAGGTGTTCCCCAGGTAAGCAACACACACGATTCAACATAGCAGGACACGTCCTTCCACTGCATCCAGTTCTTATGCTCACATGACCATTGTTGATGGTTTTGGTGGTGAACAGAGGTCAACACGGGCACCCTGACTGGTCTGCAGCTATGCAGCCCCCTACACTTCCTTGGAGCACTTTTGAATGAATGATAATCACCACTGCAGACTGGCGCCGGCCATCACAGTTCGATCCTTGTCAAACTCCCTCAAATGTTTACAGTTGGCCATTTCTTCTTCTGCTAACAGATCAACACTGAGGACAAAATGTTCACTTGCTCACTAATATATCCCACCCAGAGCAAGAGCAATCCAAGAACAAACATATGGAGTTGTAAATGAGCAAAGTAGTACTCACATATCACAGTCTTTACAGTTTTATCACACCAGAATATAATAAGCAAATAGAGACCCGTTAAACGAAGAGCTCATTCAGCAGCACCTCTGTTTGGTTTACAAGAACAGGGAGCTCTCGATTTGATGCAACAGTCAATACTATATATAATAATGCAACCAATCAAATTTAATTAACGGAGGAAGACGAGATTATAATCACGACTATCATGCGATTAACTGTACAGCCCCTCATGAGGACGAGATCTGCTTTAAAAAATAAATCTTTTTATTTTGGCGAGGGCACATTTACGTGAGGAAAAGACGAGGCGGCTCTCTTGGCACACTGCAGGACTACAAGCAGGAGAAGCTTTTCCAAAAGGGCACTTTTTATTGAAATGACTTGATCTGAGCTAGAAAAGGGTATAAAAAGCGCCAGTACCCTAACATTAGAGCAACAGTAAAATTAGTGAATCTACAGTCCAAATTACAAATTACACTTAAGGCAGGTGAGTCAGAGCAATAACTGCGCTGACATTGCCCCCCTGACATTTCCCCACCACTTAATTTTTGACTTCCATAAGCTATCGTCCCTTTCTCTTATTCCCTCCCTCCCTCTGCGCTCTGGGTCCTTTTCCTTTTTTTTCTGCTGTTGTAACTTTCTTCCAGGTCCCTCCCACACGCGAGACCCGCCGCAATTCTGCTATGGTTGCTCAACATCTCCGGTAATAGCTGAAGGCTCTGTTTGCAGACAAAACAGGGATATTTTGAGGGTAGCAGAGTGTGGAGAAGATAATGGAGTCAAGAGGGGAAAGTCACGACTCCCCACAATGACTAAGCAGCCTCCATCGAGGCCGAATATGACTGATATTTGTTCAGGAGATCAGGTTGCTGTTCAAACTAATAAACAACAAGGTGTTCTTGCCATCACCCTGTGAGCAATGTTGTTTTCCACAATTTAATTTTCCACACCTTTCCTTGAATAAAACTTGTTCACATTCGCTTAATTTTCCCGGGTTTGTGATGGGATTTGTACGTTTTGTTGCGCTTCGGTGATAGAGGAAATCGTGATGACAGGTGCTATCAAGAAAGTGAATGTGTGAGCGCATGTTTTTGTACGTGAATGAAAAAATCAGAGGCACTGACATGAAAGTGAAACCCATCTCTCAGATACACAAACATGCGGACGCACAGAATTACCTGCAGATGTCTAATGGTGAAAATGACCGGGTCAGAGAGGTAGACTTTGTTAGAGTCCTTGTTGATGGCGGCTGTGATGACCGGCGAGTTGACGATCACAGAGTAGTTGGTGGCCAGGGCTTCGCTGCCCAGCTTCATGCTGGCGTTCTCAGTTGAAAGATAGACCCCGATGTGCTTGTACAGGACGAACGCTATTCGGATTTCACCTGCAAGAGGACAGTTATGAACAGTCTCGCACTGATTAAAGAACGCACTGGATGGGGTATCACTTCATTTTAAAATAGATCTTTGACACACACACACAAGCACACACACACACACACCAAAGCACACACACACAACAAAACACACAGAGAGATAGAAAGACACACGACACACACACACACAGTAAGGCTGGGCACTGATAGGAGAGTCACTGGCCAGTCTTCCAAGCTAAACATGTTTTCAGACAGTAAACAGTTTCCTGCTCGCTTTCAGTGATGATTGAGTGCTTTGACTATTGGCTAAAACTTCCTCAACCAGTGGCTTTAAATCAAAACACTGAAGAGAAATGCTCTGGAGAAACACCAGCTTCAAGGATCTTCTTTATCTTCTTCTTTCCACAGCAAAAGAAGAATGCTGTGGAAGAAGAATGCCAACATGAAGATGTCCCGTGAAAAGACATTGAACTATAGTTTCTTTCTTTCTTTCTTTCTTCTTTTTTCCCTAGCTGGCGGTCAGGAGGACAGGTCGCCCGAAGCCAATACGTCGCAGTGGGTGCCGTAGGGTTTCCATCTTGGTCAACGATGCACTTCCAGGCCTTGTGATATCTGGCCTTGACCTTTGCTTGATCGAGGATGAGACGTCGTTGTTTAAGATCATCTTCAATTTGCTTGATCCAACTCTTCTTGGGCGCATGACTCTTGATTCTCCAGTGGGGTGCTGCTACAGCAGAAGGCGATATGGCAGGCGATGGTCACTCATGCGGCAGATGAAGTCGACACTTCTGGATCAGCTCTTCCATCGAGGGCTGCTGGTGACACTGACTACATACCACGCTGTTGCTGAGACGGTCACCGAGCGACACTCTGAGAATCTGATGCAAACAGCACATTTGGAAGACCTCGAGCTTGTTGAGGTCGTGCTTGATTATGACCCAGGTCTCGGATCCATAGAGAAGAATGGGCAATACCAGTGTGCAGTACAGGCGGATTTAGTGATGAGGGTGACGTTTGTCTTCTTCCAGATGCACCATCGGAGGGAGGCGAAAGCCGCCGCTGCCGCTTGAACGATTCTTGAGTGTACTTCCGCCGTTGATGTCACTTTCTTTTCTTGCACCAGAGAGCCGAGGTATCTGAACTATAGTTTAAAATGGTTTATACTCAATGTTTTTTTGGATTGTGTCCACAAACCTAGGGTGCAGTACTACTTACATAATGTGAAAACAATGCACATGATAATCTGTCATGTTATTTATACCGCTCACACAGCACACTCAAATTAGAAAAATGCTAAAAGTGATAACGAATGGACCCACTCACTAAACAAAGCTTCTTAAATCTGAAGTCAGAGCAGCACATAGTACAGACAACAGACAGGGCTACAAATATGGCTGCACACGAGGCAGAAAAGCAGAAATCCTTCAGAAATCATCAGACTTAAATAAAAAAAACAGACTCCTATTGGCACTGACAAAGGCAACCATTTTTCTTGTTAATCATTTCCTCCTTTTTCCTCTCCCCATTGCCTCCTGCTGTCTCACTTTTGTGCATTCAAAGTTCCCTCCCGCCGTGTCTGAGATCACTCACTCTGATGAAAAGAAAACAATTTGGGTGCTATGGAACTGCATATCGGGGAAATATTCGCCACCCTGCTATAATGATCCGCCTGGGCACGGCTGGACATGGACTTAGTCATCCAGCACAGACACGGGGACGCAGCTTGAGTCGATTCTGATTTGCATGAGCTGATAATAAAAGTCTAAAAATGGGGCGACACTGCTCCCAAAGATATCTATGTATAGAGTCTAACTGCCTCATTTACAGTTTAGTGGCAGAGCTTGAATGTAACTAATTCAACAGCCAGGGTCTTATTCAGAGGCTGCAGAAAGATCTAAGCGCTTTATATGCAGACCAACAAAGGACTGGGGTAGCAAAGCGAAAGTTATTCACCAGCATCTGTGATAAAATTCCTCCAAAACCAATGGAGGCCCATGCAATGACACAAGTGGAAGACGCAAAAAAGAAAAGACGACAAACAGCAAAAGAATTTTTGATTAATTACAGCAGCTCTCGTAAGCCAAGTAACATAACAATATTTCTATTGTAGCAAAGTTGAAACTTTTCTCTTAAATTTATCATAACCATGAATAATAAAACACAGAGTGAAGGCGCGCATGAGCCATGATTGCACTTCAAACCCACAATACGGGAGCAATAAAAGCAAATTCAAAAGGTCGAACTTCTTACCGTTTCTTCCGTGCTGCTTCAGTGTGTTCGCTGAGAGGTGGATAGAGTTGCCTTGTCCTCCGGATTGTGGGAACTTCAGATCAGGCAAATTCCCATCTGTGCTCATTCTCGCTACCTCGACAAAACAAAATTTGTTCCCACTCTTTAATTTCTTCAATTCTACTAAAAATTGCAAGAATAATATCGTTTGACGGGCATAAATTAGTGTTTGTGCCCCAACCAAGTGATTCCCCTTGGTATGGTGTAATTCCTGATGACTACTGTACTTAAAGAAATGACAGGAAAGCCTGAAACAGTTTGGGTAGTGTTAAAGAATACCATTTATTGACTTTCAGGCTTGTCAATTGCACAGTTTTTGTCTTATATATTTATATATCTACATGTATATTTGCATGTTTCAGTAAACCACTGCAGTCATGTTCCGTTATCTTAGCAAAATATAAAGAAACGGTGGTTGGCTCAAGACTTTCTCACAGTACTGTAAAGTAGCTAAGCTATGATTGAACGATGACATTTCATAGGAGGGCTTTAGAGAATGTCAGAAGCTTTAATTTTACAGTATGTATACATTTGGCTGAACTGTTTCTGCAGTGAAAACTGGAAGTAATGTTTAAGATATGAAAGGTTCACTGTGCAAATAAAAAAAGCAATAATTTTCATACAACAATAAAAGGGTGACGGTGAGAGTAATCGTTTTCCTTGTCAGATTCTAGTACATTCGCATAACTTGTTGAACTTCATATATTCAGCGCTGTGTATACACTGTTATCCCCAAGCTGCACTGCTCTCTATTAGTTTTTACAAAGGTGTAGTAAGGCTTTCTTGGGAAATTCCCTCAATAGTCTCATAATTATGTCTGGATGCAATATTGGCTCCTAGTGTTCAGTCGGCTGAGGATCGTCTCACCACATTAATTGTGTGCGATATTGCAGCAGTTGCAGAAAAGGTTTAGGTTAAACGCCTTTTATTTTAGGGGGCATTATACATGAATACAGTAATTTGTCATGTTTTCTAGAGTGTTCTTTTTGAATGCCACAGCAGCAAAAAGCAAAGGACCTGGGGTTGTTTTGATTTGCGTTTAGTTATAGAGAAAAACACTCCGTACAAGCCAGCCGCCTCGTTTAAAAACTTCACAAATTCAGCTTTAACTGGATTGGCTGTCCCATTCCTTAGATAAAAGCCGGAGAGACGGCGGCGGTCATCGCCCGGGAGCTGGCAGAGCAAACCAAGAGCAATCTTCAGGCGGGGGACATCACCTACACGGTGAAGGCCATGGTTCAGCTGGTGGATCTGCTTGACGTGCAGCTGAGGAACCTCACACCAGGTGGCAAAGACAGTGCAGCACGGAGCCTCAATAAGGTATCGCAGGAAACTGGTTTACACATATTTATTTGAATGATTTGATTTGCTAGAGCTGCTTTTGTGTGTAAGCATCCATTAATTCCGACTGTTAAGTTTCCGGTCTAGAGGCCTGCCTACCACAAGGCTTCAATCCGAACCCGACCAGTAGATATTCTTTTCATTATCTGCCGCTTGGCTCTGTGCTGTTGAGTAAAATGATATTCCCCGTTTTTCCCTGTAGCTGCCTCATAATAAAAACCGACTTTCAATTTCGAGCACTTCTCTTACACTAAGTGCAATCAATTTTTACACTGACGCAGTTTTAAAAGTTGCCGTCCAGGCGCCAACATTTGCCCCGCTTGTGTTTTTTGTTTTTGCTAATGCGACGGGGTAAGATTCCAGCGGGCTGGATGCGAGCGGTGGGGGGTGCAGAGCGTTTCATATTCGCTGAACTTGAATCTAATGTATTTATTACCCAATTCACAGCAGAGCACAGTAAGGGGCACTCAGGCAGAGAGAGCTAAAATAATACTTTCTATCTGCTGAGCGGCCAACAGAAAAGCAAACATCAGTGAAATTCAAAATGTCACTCGTTAATTTCCTGGAGCGGCATCACTTGTAGACGAACTCGAACACCTGTTCTCGGATTGCTTTTTTGGGACTGTTTTTTATTTCATTGCTGCAACAGACACTGATGTCCCTTTTGAGGTTTTAGTGCCAGTTTTCTCCAATGGAGAGGGAAGGCAGTAAAGATGGCCAAAAGGCCTCAGAAGGGAAACTTGATGAGTGAAATCGCATCGGAGCAACTAGAGTTTATAATACCTCTCGAAAAAATAAATACTGGCTTCACATAAAACAGACTGTTTGAGGGAGAGGCGACTAACGTGGTGGCGGTTGCCACCTAAGTCTTTAGTCTCTTTTTTAAAGTTGATGAAATGGCAAAAAAAGAGAGAAAGCAGCCGTATTGAAGGGGTGAGGCGGAAAAGCTTTTGCAACAGGGATAATTTATTCAAGAGGTCAGGGCTTACCAGTGATTTATAATTCTCTGTCTGCTGATATACGGTCCATTTTTTGCAGTACGGTGCATCTATGGAACAAAAAACGTCCCTACGGGTTTTTCTTGTGCTCCGCATCCCTCGCCAGTGAGACGTCTCCCAACGGAGACACCGGAGTCCACAAAACTCTTCTTCTTCTTCTCTGTTTTGGCAATACCAAAGTTCAATCATTTTGACACAATCTGCTAAGCAAATTAAAGATTTTTTTCTTCTTTTTTTGTTAATATAATGAAGTAGAGCAGACTTTGCCAGCAAACAATGAAAGGATTGAGTTGGCAAACGGTGAGATCAGTGTCGTTTTCATGATCAAACGGTTAGCTGGCTAACGGTGCGGATGGGAACGCTTCCAGAAGAGTGGGCTGTGATGTAGAGCAAGAGGCTCCTTTATGGGGAAATGGTACTCTTTGGAGCTAATCTGCATGGGATTTAGCACGGTACTAGAACCTATCTGTTAAGCCACACAGCGGCTCTGTTGGCTACACCGCCTGTATCAGAACTCAATTAAAATGATTCACTCCCCATGCAGTCCTAACAGCACTTCTTTGTGCCTCAGCTCCCTGTCTGTGTTTTTTTTTTCTTTCTTTCAGGTATGCTAAAATGCTATTAGCATTAACTCTTCTTCGGTGGTGGCAGACTTTTAATGGATAACTGCACCGTGCTCTCTTGGGAAATTTCTCAAATAAAACATAAAACTTAAAATGTGACAACCTAGAAATCAAAGTTAAGAGTGTCATGCAGTATGCTTTTTCCTACTGGTCTCGTATGTCTAATTTTAGGGCTAATTAACACGAGTCTCTACTTTTTTTTCCCACATATTACGCAGTCATTGTGCCAAGTGCTTTTCATAAAACTGTAGAGTGAATGTTTTAGTTTCTCACTTACTTTGAAATCTGTACTTCAAGCTGAAATGTTTCATGTGGAATTGCCTGACTCTTTTTTTTATGCTAACTCTTGAATTTCTTTGGGTTGCAGTTGCAGAAGAGAGAGCGCTCGTGTCGGTTTTATGTTCAGGTATTTGGACCAAATTTTATTCCTCACTTCCTGCTCTTCGTTTCCTCATTGTGATAACTTGTGCTGTCGTTTTCCATTTTTAACCACAGAATGTGAAACTTGGCCTTTTGAAGTGGCGCCCAGTGCCACAGTATCAAAGTCACTACATGTGTGTGCCATGTGTCGCCTTTCCTTGCAACGCTTGTCTTAAATCAAATGGTCAAATTTCATTTTTGTCATCGTGTCTCAACTTTTAGTTTATTATTCATATTTTTCACCCACCACCCTGCATGCATATGACATGTAATGATAGTTTCTTGGCACGAGCCTGAGAGTTCCTCTATTTTGAGATGCCGTAGATCCTTTGTGGATTTTCTCAAGTGTCTCAATCATTTTAAAAATGCCCCAGAACTATCATATCAGCACTCCTTTCCAGTGAAATAACCCACATAAGTGGAAAGCATCAGTCAAAAATAATGCTATCGGGCATGTAGCACATGCCTGCATCTCTCAGCAAAAGCTTAAGAGCCAAAAGAACTGACCTCATTATACCAACAAGTCAACTTCTAACTACTCTTCTAGCTACTAAGTCAGCCAAAGTTATGACATGTTATGATTCTGCATGATGCATAATACATATTTGTCCCAATTTGGGGGGTTGAGGGGTTCTCTTGCTTCTCTCAGCTGTTTCTCGGGCTACCGAGTGGGATTTGTTGTCCCTGAGGTGACTTTTTAGCTGCCATCAGGATAATTTCTACCTTGACAAGAGAACTATGGGAGAAGTTGACATCCCTGTCTTCATGCAGATGGTTTCAATTAAGCTGCACACTGCAGCCAGATGTTGTCTTTTTATATGTAGGCTCAGTAGCACGCATGCTAAGAAACATGTATTTCACACTGATCCCTCCGAGGCATGTCAGAAGGCATTTTGTTATTTATGGTTTTATATGGTTGAGTGTGCTCATAGGTTTAAATGGGTTTCTGAGTGAAAGATGCTTTCAGCACGAGTCAGGTGGTGTTCTGTTTTTCTTGTTGTCGACAGATGCCACAGGAGGACTAGAAATGCAACTATTGTCGGGTCCTTGTGCAGCCAAAGATCAGGGGCTCTCAATGTTTTGATGTCTGAGTGCCAATTTAGAGAGCCAACATATGTATAATTGAAAAGAAATGCAGACATCAAAGACTTTGAGTTGGTATTTGTTGGGTTTCTCTTCAGGGGTTGAGGCTATAGGTTTGTAATTGCCATGTTTCTCTTTATGTTAGGTGGATGTTACATTTCTTGAAAATATAAGGAAGGTTTAGTCTGCTGTGATGGGTAGAAAAGAAATGCTCCCTTGAGCTTGTTATGTGCTGCTATATCATAGCAGAACAAGAACTGTGGGTAAGTGAAATGTACAATGGTCCATTCATTCCCTGTTGGAGTTAAGAGTGTCAACGCTGGGCCTTAAGTTGATAAGTGCCATAGACTAATATAATATCTTAAAATTAGAAAAACAAATTGTTGAGTTACACGGGGCGGCATACCTCTTCATTTTGTTTCTTACTGTAATGATCGTATCGTCTGTACTATATCCTCCAATTAGCCAATCTGAGACAAATTTTTTATGAATATCACACGTATAGCGATTAACATCCATATTTAAGAAAACCCCAAATTATTTAGGTTTTTAATCCTTTTTGATTTTCGCATAAATTGGTGTTACAGTCTCTGCTTGGGCTCGTTTCGCGTGTCACGTTCAGCACATGTTGCTGGCATGTAACTTGGCGCTCACCAAACTTTGTGTCTGTGACTGAGTTTAGTTCAATACACCACAGAATACAAAATGAAATGAAAAAGTGCACCCAGATTTAAAAAACAGACTTTTTTTTTTTACTCATCGTGAGCGCCTGAGCCCACGAGCTCAATAGGAAAGTGTTTACAAAGGTTAAGTCTAGGGCTTTCATGATTAAGGTGATAAAAAATTTTAGCACAATCATGGAGTGCAGAATGGACAAACTTTGGTCAAACTTCCTGAAATGCGTTGGCAGAGACATTTCAGGGATATTGACTCATTCTGCGCTCCAGATGGGTTAATTGCGTTAAAAACTGACGCAAACTAAACTGCGTTAGTCGTGATGACCCTAGTTAAGTCAGAAAGATATTTTCCCACAGACTTCTATAGGACCAGAAGTCTTTTTGTAACCATGACGATCACCATCTGTAGGACTTGAAACAGAACGGCGCTTCCCCATTGGCTTCATTTATCCGACCTGGACTGCATCCATGTTTCATGCTCTCTCTGCGGTGCCGCTAAAAACCAACAATGCCACCGTCACCATGATTGGGTTCATGACTGTTGGCACAATATTTCATGCTAACAGTTGCCCAGTGGCTCAACAGTGCAGACACAGCCGTGCCTCAAGAATCTTTAAAACACGCACAGACATCATTATATACTCTCGAAGATTCTGCTTTCATGTTTTGGCCCATGTTTTCACCTTACAATGTAAATCTATACATGACTGTGCACACAGCCCAGCTGCGCACCTTCCTCCTCTGTTCCATTCCTGTGCTACGTTGACAAATTCACACAACAGTGAGGCGCTTTCACTTGACGAACTGGAATAATGGAGCAACATCTGTGGCCTTAAGTAAACACAGGCATTGACTGCACGCGCTGGCAGCCTTTGAGAGACTTTCACTGATTAGGGAAATTGGGCAATGTTTTCTCCAACAGGACCCTGGTGGTTGACATAAGTGGGATTAGCAGAGGAATACAAAGCAAATGAGAGCTGCACCTGCCTCTGCTGTCCCTCTGCTCGGAGAACACGCGAGGCGCCGAAAACAGACTGTGACAGCGCCGTGGGAAAAGGCAGGCTGCGGGAGTGCAGGTGCGGCGGAGTCGAAGGAGGTGCAGAGTCCAAAATAAAGTGCAGGGCTTGTTGTTGATATCTAAATTAGAAGAGGAGTGATTATTTCCTTAATTGAGGGCTTCTGTCTTGTTTAAGTGGTAAACAAGTAAATGACATTTTAATTCATCTCATCGCGAGGTCTTTATCTTCTTCAGCTCGTCAGAGAATTTCAGCGCGAAGCTACTGTATATTTGCCGTTTTAGTTGCATATTCATAACCAATTCAACCTGTGGCAATTTCCCTGCCTCAGCTGAGCTTGTGTAGATACAACAATGATTAATTATGAGTGCCTCTGTATCTTTCCCGCTTGTTTGTAAAGAGTCGTATCTGCTACATGTCATAGCCAATTTAATCCCACTGAACAGAATTTGGCCTTGATAGAGCTACAAAGCATAAAATGATCAACGCACGATGTTCTGCATTTCCCCTGCAGGGATGTTTCTCTGCTGTGCCCTTTGATTCTGCATAAACAGGATAAAAACGACGCCCTGCCTCCCTTGCCTTTTTGGTCATTACTAATGGCAGCGTGTCTATGGGCAGAGACGTTATGGTTGTCCAATTACTGTGATTATATCCGTCCATGTTGTTCTAATGTCAAACAAAGTTGCTTTGAAGGTTTTCTTCCTTTTTATTTATTTCGTTTTAAAGCGAGCGAGCGAACGACTGCGCGGGAGTTGAGGGATGTACAGCGCGTGAAAATATCCCAAATAATGTCTCATACCTCAGTAGGAGCCAAGTGAGTGTGGATTTGCGCAATACAGGGAGGATGTTGCGCTCCGACCCGAGTTAAACTGATGGCGTGAAAAGATGACCGAGGGGGGCGGGGAAGTGTCGCAAAGCAGGATGACCTCAGAGCAGGCAGAAACACAGGGAGGATCCTTGTTCGGAAATGTAACGAGATGACAAAATGTTGGAAGATGAAGATTGCTACTTCCTCGGAAACAGAGGCCTCCACATCTGGCCTGCAGTGCAGAGCTCTCTCTCTGAATAATGAGTGCTTTCTCCTCACAGAGAGGAAAGTTCTGCTGATCAGTGTTGTGTAATAATTGAGAAAGTCCCGTGGTTATTTTTTGTGTGCGTGTGTGCGTGTGTGTTGAGAGGATATCTGGGTTATCCATACACGTGTGTGCATACACTGAAATCCTGGTGTTCTTTGGTAAAGTCGTTATAATTTTTAAGGCCTGAAAATGAAAATCTGAACACTTTGAACACTTTATGTTAATTCATGATCGTTTTAGAGTGTCTAGTCTTGAATAAAGTTTTCTGTGTCTTGCTTTAAATTAAAAGGCGAAGCAACTTGTGGACCAAAGTGCCGTCTACTGCAGGTTCATTCAAATTAAATACAAATGTTTCGCAGTATTGTTCAGTAGAAGGCTTTTTGGAGGAATCTGTGCAGCAATGAATTTTTTTCTGTAATGAGAAAAAAGAAAATCAGAAAATCTCACATTAGATTTTCTATCTGAGTTGTTTTAGCATGAATACAGCTGCTGTACTGTGCAATCCTCTTTGCAACCCACCTCCACCTAAGCTCCAATTTGCCATGTGATTTCGGATTTAGAGTCATGTCACTGAAGCCTGCTCGGGGTTTAGTGCTGCTGTTCTCCCTGTTTTAGGCTTTCCATTAGGCCATGCTCATAACAATCTTCTTTTAACTGAAATGCAACCAAATAAGAAAATAACAGCATCACTTGTTGTATCACTGATTAACATCTATCCATTTTGTATCTCTCAGTGTAAGTCTTAGGAAAGGATTGTTTTCTTCAGCTGTTGAGGTTAATAGAGTGTTTCTATCAAGACAGTAGTGAGATGAAACCTGAGACAGAAGGCAGAAATACAAAGGTAACCCCTCAGACACTCACCTACACAGAACCAACCACCCACTTACTGAAGAAGGCTTGATAAAATATTAAAGCAGAAGGTTTCAGAGATTCTCAAAGAAGAGGGATGATATGGCTAGCAGCTAATATAGAACAGACAAGAAATGATGCTACAGCTTCATTTGAGCCCAGAGACAAGAAGTCAGATAGAAGATGACAGAGAGAACAAGGCATCCCACCTTGTTTATGTTCTTTCCCCCTACCATTTTGAGATCAGCCTTCAACGTCAGTGAGAGGAAACAAGCGAGAGGA